CTATCAGCAAGTTTGCTGATGACACTAAGCGGGGAGGAGTGGCTGACACGCCAGAAGGCTGTGCTGCCATCCAGCGAGACCTGGACAGGCTGGAGAGTTGGGCAAGGAATAACTTGATGAAATCTAACAAGGGAAAGGGTAGAGTCCTGCATCTGGGCAGGAACAACCCCAGGTTCCAGTATAGGTTGGGGAAAGACCTGTTAGAGAGCAGTGTAGGGGAGAGGGACCTGGGGGTCCTAGTGGACGACAGGATGACCATGAGCCAACACTGTGCCCTTGTGGCCAAGAAGGCCAATGGCATCCTGGGGTGTATTAGAAGGGGGGTGATTAGTAGGTCGAGAGAGGTCCTCCTTCCCCTCTACTCTGCCCTGGTGAGACCCCATCTGGAATATTGTGTCCAGTTCTGGGCCCCTCAGTTCAAGAAGGACAGGGAGCTGCTGGAGAGAGTCCAGCGCAGGGCAACTAAGATGATTAAGGGAGTGGAGCATCTGCCTTATGAGGAAAGGCTGAGGGAGCTGGGTCTCTATAGTTTGGAGAAGAGGAGACTGAGGGGTGACCTTATTAGTGTCTATAAATATATAAAGGGGGAGTGTCACGAGGATGGAGCCAGGCTCTACTCAGTGGCAAACAATGATAGGACAAGGGGTAATGGGTACAAACTGGAACACAAGAGGTTCCACTTAAACTTGAGAAGAAACTTCTTCTCAGTGAGGGTGACGGAACACTGGAACAGGCTGCCCAGGGAGGTTGTGGAGTCTCCTTCCCTGGAGACATTCAAAACTCGCCTGGTCACATTCCTGTGTAACCTCATCTAGGTGCTCCTGCTCCGGCAGGGGGATTGGACTAGATGATCTTTTGAGGTCCCTTCCAACCTCTAGCATACTGTGATACTGTAAATTTAGTATTTCATACTTACTTGATTTATTTAATCTGACCCAAATTGAATTTTCAAAAGAATAAAAATGGGTAAATAGTCTCTTTACTTTTAGGCTAACCATAAAGACAGTTGGAATGTCTGCACGTTAGTATTTAAAAAAAAAAAAAAAAGAGGAAAGTGATTTTCTAGGTGCAAAGCAGTTTCTACTTTTTCAAAGTGACTATATACAACAGTAATGTAATAATGTCACATAACAATCACATTGCTACACAGCACTGAGGGTTTTTTTGTAATCATTTTATGGGTTGAAGAATAGAGGATTTGTTTGTTGCTTGACTTTCTAGATAGTCTCTGTTTCTACCTACCATTATAAAACTGAAATGATTTCCAGGAACACACTGTTAGTTATTAACAATAATATTGGGCTATTTAGCAACTAATGTAAAATAAAATGCACTGTGAATATAGTTAAACAAAACATTAGTACAAAATACAGATATATTGAAAACACAGCTTCCATTCCAGAAATAATGACCCTTATAAACTTCTGGAATGTTGTAAGAAGTGAAGAAAGTAAAAACGTAAAGGGACCTAAAACAGTATCTTTTAACTCACAATGCTTGCATACTTTGTTTACAGGGAGAGCTGGGGCAAACAGTTGGACAAATCATGCTTAATGCTATGTCTCTAGAAAGCACATGGCTTATGTAAGCTCTTTAAACCACAGTCAGCTCTTTATATCAAATATATAAATGCCTAAGATGAAAACATAGCTAATATTGTCTGAAAGCTAATGACACAATTTCATGTCTTCCATTTGTCCATGAATACACAATATTACCACACTGTTCAAAGTAGGGGAAAAAAAAAAAATCCTGCTCATAATTCATTCCTAGAGGTATGTACATGGAGAATAAAAATTAGAGAAAGAAGTACACACTATAAGTATTGTGTACTATAATAAAACCCTGTATGTAGTCAACTTTCAACTCTTTGTGATGGTAGTGTGATAAATATTTGGTACAGAATGATTGTTCACTGGTAGGAATGCTGATTTTAAAATGTCATTTTTTCAGTAGCTAAATGAGAATGACAGCTTTTAACACACCATTGCTAACTTATATTAAGAACAGCCTGACTGAGGATATTGCTGTGCATCTTCTTTCAGAAAAATGGTCACATTCAGTCAATCCGGACAGTTTGAGCCAAGTCCTGCATAAATCAAATCTTATCCTATTGTAAACAACCTTGTTTTAAGGCTTTACGTAAAGATCATTGTCTTATCTTCAATGGCAGCTGATGCACATTACAAACAAGAATTTCCTGCTCTTGAAATTGAAAGTCTACTTTAGGTTGGAAAGTCCTGACTGATACTGAAGTTAGCAGAAGCCTGGCAGTTGCCATTTGTGTCAGTGACACAGCTGTGGGATCACCAGTGTCTCTTCTGCTTGCATGCATGGCCTCAGACTTTGGTTTGTCCCTCTGCAGCTGAGTTGAAGATGGTATTGGACTGAGAAGGAAGCTCCGTAACATCTGCTCACCAACATATACGTATACGCTAGCATATACACAAGCCCATCTGAGATGCTGTGCAGGTGTTACAGTCATGACAGCTCAAGCATTTATAACTATTTAGAGTAGCTCTTGATACCTGCTACAGTCTGAAGCATGGGATTGTTTCTGCAGAATGACTGTACATATGATCTGCAACCAGATTATAAGCTTGCATGTGGTTTTGACCCCCAGACCCAGTTACTTCTCTGCACTATTCTGTATTGCTGTTTTGATCTATGCTTTGGCTGATTGCAAAACAGTTATGCAGTAATAATAAATTAATTAATATACAATATAAAAACTCCCTGAACATCAGAAAGGATTGGTCTGAATCTTATGGTCTGGGGCTGGATGAGTGTGGTGAAATTTTTCCTTTAATTCAAATGCTATGTTATTTTAAAATATACTATTACACTAAGCAAGAGTGAAAAAATAGAGAAATTGTAGATCTATCATATACCACCAGTAAGTATATTCAATGTATACAGAACTGTTGCATTATAAAAATATGTGTGCATTATATATAAATGCATATATAAACATCTGTTGCTTAAGAGTTTATAATAATTTGCTGAATTTGCAACATTCACCCAGAGAAGCAGTCAGAGAACTTTTCATTTTATGGTCAGCAGCAAGTCATGTCCATTATGTTCTCCTCCAAGGCACTGTTGATAACATTTATTTGGCTGCCATGTGAAATGCATGAATGAAAATATTTTGAAAATTGAAATACTCAGTTCTTGGCGTCAGTTCTATCTCTGGTTCTTTGGACTCTCAGTTCTTTGGACAAGCCTTCCCTTAGCTCTGTATGGATTCTTCCACCCCTGGGTAGACTGAATGTTCTGAATTCTGAGGGTTTACATTCCTCTTGATGATCTGATTTTTAGTATTTGGTTTCTCAACTCAGTACATTTCAATATCTATATAAATGTCTGATCTGCTTCTGGATCTTGCTGAGGTTTTTGCTCCAGCAATATATTGTAGCAGCCAGTCCCAAGGGTTGGCTGTACACTAGAGAAAAAACTTCAGTGATTAGAAGGCTATGCTTGGAAGTGCAAAACAAAGAAAAACAAAGAGTTGGCTTTGATATGTGTCTTTACCAAAGGGTGTATGAATTGGGACATCTCTTTTAAAGTTAATTATGAAAAGAGGTTTAGAAAACCTAAGAATTTTGTTAGGCATGCCTGACTGTCACTTATGTAAAGGACCTAATTTTTTTTTGACACAACTCCATCTTTAAACTCCTAAATATCTCCTTTATAAAGCTCTCTTTACCTCTGTGTAATTTCAGCTGAGCCTAAACCACTGAATCAATTGCAGCTCACAGTTCCTGAAGCTCATTCTCCCACACACAGCAGCCAGAATAGGAGCTTAGTCTTGGTGGGAGGAGTACCTCTCCTGGCATGGCACTGTGCAGGGATTGCTGGCTGAAATACTTCCCCATATATAGCACCATAGATAAAGCTGTGGGGTATGAGATACCACAAGTTCCCAGCTGCCAGAGGAGGATTGCTCATCGAAGAAAGGCAAAACCATCATGACTCTGTATCTCCTGGACAGTTGCTCTCCTCATCTCTTTCCATCCTTTCTGAAGCTGCCCCTCCCCAGCTCCCACCATGCCTGGGCTGCCTCTGTGTGGCCATTGTTCTGTACTGGTTGCAGAAGCCTGGCAAGGACCTCATCTGAGTTGCGTGAAAGAGTGTTTTATTTTGCTGGTGCTGAATGTGACACCTGCAAGAAATACCAAGTTTCTTCAGAGAGAAATAGCTCAGATTTCTTCCTCCTCTAAATGGCAATTAGGTGACACTGAAGATATTTCATACTTAAAACTTCTTATTAATGAAGTCATTAGGAACTACAGAGCTATAGCAAATAAATATATAAGATCCTTGACATTAGTTGGCATAGTTTATGTATTTCTCCTTTAAAACTCAGCTGTTAACACACCGCTTCTTCTTTTAATAGCTTTCATGTCATTATTTGGCTCTCTGCCACTTTTTAGAGGTCTGTTTTTCCAAAACAGGTTAAAAAACATTAATGGTGGAAAGCCTGAAATGTCCTTAAAAGCACTGCAACAGTAATAATAACATGAATCTGGTCCTGAGGACTAGTGACGTACTTTGCCTCCATGGTAATGACATAGTGCACTTCATCTGAGACAATTAGTCAAGATTCTGGGTATCTGTAGGAGGATTTTAAGCAGATGACTTTGTGCAAGCTTGTGTTATTCTGCATGAAGCACTTGTGAATTTCCTTAAAACTGCCAATAGGGGTTGGGGGAACAACAGACACGAGAACTTCAAGCCTTGTTTAGCTTGAACACTCACAAAGGACTTATTGTACTGTGTCTAATAGGCTTTGCTCTGAAAGCCTTTAGCCATCAGTGTGCCAAATATCCTTCTCCTTCTGCCATATGTTATGTTCAGCAATTGCATTGCTAATAAACTCCATGTTCCCCTGAAATCCCATCTGTCCAACTCAAGTCTGTGGTGATTTAGACTATAACATTTTCCTCAAGACCCTCAGTTCTGCATTTACAAAAACACGTAGAGCTCTCGAAACTGCCTGCTCTCAAGCTTTATCGAAGCCTTCTCTGTATTGTCCAAATCAGCATGACTTACAGGTACATTTCTTTTTTTTTTTTGTTCATTATAATCAGGGAGTGACAACTCACAGAAAATGGCTACTGCTCTTTGATCGCTCTTTTTGCAGCCTGAAAAGTCTGGCCAGCTTCATTTGATAAGAAAAGTCTGAAATGTACAGAAAAGAATATAGGATTTCAAAATACAGGAGGCAAGGGTGCATGTATCAAAACTAAGGAATTGACAGGCTCAGTTACACAGAATTAGAAATGCTGAAGACAGCTGTGGAGACAGAGACCTCTCTTTCTATGTTTGCTGTGTTTTATAGCCTGTGGTGTATCTATGTTGTGTGATTTTGTCTCCCCTGAGTTTATTCAGGTGAAGCTATAAAACTGATGAGTGCTGGAAAAGGACAATGTTACTTATTCGTTTTGTTTTAAATAATTGATGATGTTTCCTGTTTCTGCTTGCATAAATTGCTCTCAGGTGTTGGAGAATTACTCAGTGAGTTGCCTTTTAATTTGTTTCTTCAGAAAAGCAGCATGCTGCTTTTCAGGACACTGTAGGTAATGTGTTCCAGGCAGTACTTTCTAACTGGAGATTAATAAAAGTGTGCTGAATGCATGTTTATGTGCTATTGCTTCACATATGTTCCTATGTGGGAAGGAAGGAGGGTTAGGTGAATGAGTACAGACAGTGAAGAGCCTTAGAGGCCTCCGTGATGATGTTTTAAAGTATAATTTGTGTTTCCCTGATGTTTAGGCCTGTACACGAAGGCTCTGATCCGGAGTGCTCAACCATTGTAGATTTCAGTATAGTTGGATCTGGATTACAGATAGCATAGTTCTGGTTTTTCTAAGAGGCAGGTTTAATTCCATTGTATAACTTCTACGCTTTGCTACAGAAACAAGAAGAAAATAAGATTTACAAACCCATGTAAACTGAATTTCAAGCAAAGTTGTTTCATGGGTATCATGCCTACAGAACAACAGTACTAATTAATTAACTGATTAATTTATCCTTCCTTATTGTGCCTTCTCATATGCAAATACAGAGTCTCTACAGCTCATAATTGTCATGCCAGTGAGGTTCAAAATGTGCTGGAGGTACACTTTGTGAGTTGAATTATATGACAAGATTTGATTAAAACAACTACATCTGTGATATGTTACCATCTTGGGCCTGAGCTTTCATTGCATCTAAACTTCCTGGTGGTCCAGAGAGCCTTGCTTTTTGGCTGAGTGGAATGACATAAGCCAACTGGTTTATCTGGCAGTGGAAACCAAATAGTGCTGTGGGATTGCTTCAACTGTCCCACCAGGCAGTCTGGATGGGTGTTTTTCATTTTTTCTCATGTGTTCAAGGACAAGAAAAGCCCTTCCATTTGCAGAAACGCCTATTGACCACAATTATTGAAATTTACATTATTAAATCACTCTTCTATCAGACACCTTATTGGGTCACAACCTTTGCAAATATTTCATGACTTTTGGAGGATCAAGTTGGATGCTATACTACTGGTTTAATTTTTCTATGCTGGCAAGTAATCTACCTGCTGACTTTCAGTTTGTCATTTAGCATAATGAGACTGGCATTATTTTTCAGTCTTCTTGAAGGAATAAATTTATCTTCTGGTTTTAAGTTGTCTGTCATTTCTTGGTGTTCTGCCTATATAGTTTTCATGAGTCTTTAGGGTTTATCTTTAGTGATTTCTCTAGCCAAAAGTGTCCCTGCCTGTGGCTTAGAAAAGAATGCTGGGTTGATAAAAGCACATTAAAATGGCTAAAGAGCCAGGCACTGACGATATGTAAGTGCTGATAAATCAGCCTTAGTGGTCCACCATGTCTTAGTTTATAATCCAGTAACAGCCACTGCATATCTGATTATGGACATTTACCTTGGATGCATGGCATATTGGAGTATGAATCGCAGACTCCTGCATCACTAAAAAATGGGTGTTGTCAAGAAAATACCTGATGCAGTGGTACACATCTCTCATACCCTTACAGAGCTGTAGAACAAAATCTCTCATCACTTGCTGAGTGATGGGACTCAGGAGGGGCAGAGGTTGGAGCATGGTAACTTTTCTGGGCTAAAGAAAAAGTGAAAAAGAAAGCAACTTTCTGGCCAGGGTGGCTGCAGTGTTTGCTATTGCACCATGTGGGATGAATTTGAATTCCACAGTAGTCATGGGCTCTCTGTGTTCCCACACCCCATTCCATGGAGCGCAGGAAAGGCTTGCCACTTCGTATTGTAATAACCAGGGTGCCTGATCTGCTTCTGTAAACTCTTGTTGCAAACACTCATGAGATAACTAGCACATCCAGGTTTGGTCTTGAAGATTTATTACCACTGGGTAAAGTCAAAAGGGAACTGTGACTACACCGTGGCTGTGACTGTCCTAAACCCCATGAGTCTGAATTAAAAATCATTCACACACCCCAAAGGCAGTAGAAATAACAAGGATCTGGGCTCCAAATTGGGTGAACACCCATAGTTAAATGTTCCTTGCATGTAAAACCTAGGAGAATTTCTGAACCAGAATTTGCACAGAACATGATATGGACTCAATGTTGTTGAGAACAGGCAATTAGAGAATATGTATATATTGTATGTGAGTTTTTTCAAGAAAAAGGACCTATATTTTGAGGTAGACATCTAGTGAAGTCTCATCTCTCTCCCCTCAAAATAAAGCTCTTCCTTATTAAAGGAATTGAGGCAATTAGGTTTTGACTCTTACTCATTTCCAGCTACTAAAATATGCCATGCAGTCACAGACTTTCCACAGTTTTTCAATTTACCTTTTTACCTCTGGGCCAAGGCCTTTTGGCTTTGTATCTCCCTGGCAGGACAATCCTTGACTGCTGGCAAATGCACTGACTTGGTCCTTTTCTCCTGCCACCTCTGCCAGCATATGGGCAATCCACAAGGATGAAGTTGGTAGTGATGCCGTGTGCCCACCCGTAGGAGAAAGGCTGTGGCCAGCCCAGCTCCTCTCACAGGATGTATGTGACATCTCTTTTTCCTCTAAGGGCAGTTCTGTTCCTTCCAGCTCTGGGAGAGAATACTAGCCCAGTCAATGCCATCTATTTTTATCTTTGTGTCATCTACTGTGTCTGAATATCCATGCAAACACAGGCCACCAGTCAGTAAGCCCAGCTGTTTGGTATTATTTACATTATGCTGGCATCTCTGCTGACCTAAAGAGCAAAAGAAAATAACAAGGCGTATTTGAGGCTTAATAAAACATTGCAGTAGGGAGTCCTTTCTAAGCCATTACAAGTGCTTGCTTGAAGTGCATTTGCTGGTTTAACAAACTGGTTAGGACTGTTTAACATGCTGTTGCAATGATGTTCAGACACTTCTCTTAGTATTTGTTGATCTGCAAAAATGTGTCCTTGCCCAGTTGCACTAGAGAGTGGGATTAAATAAATAAATAAATGCACTGTGATGAGTTTGCACAAAAGCGGAGCAATGACTGCCCCTGGCAGATGGAAAAAAAGTCAATATGATGTCTGAGACAGCCCAAGCTCTGCACTGCAGAATAAATTATGTGATTCACTGAATGCCTGGGCTTCACGAAGACATACACAAAATTGGAAAGATAAAAGCTTGCACTGGCTTTAGATGATATTTACTGCTTGATGGATTTACTAGCAGCCCCAGTACAGTCATACTATTTTGAATTATCAGTGTATATTTAGCTGTGTGTCTGTTGAAGCTTGAGTGTCCATTTAAGCGTAAGTGAGCTGGAGCCCTGCCGAGGCTTTTTAAAGCTTTGTGTAGAGAGGAAGATGCGAGCTAATGGCTACTAGCTTGAATATCAGGGAACTTAAGGATGCTGGGGTAGACAACAAAGCATAATGTGCATTCTTATCAATATTAATGACAACATAAATATTAATACACACTGCCTGGCACATTATTTTTGAATGATTCTTGTTTTCTTTGTATTTTAACACAAATGGCTGGAAACTACTATGATTTCTCTCTCAGAAGGGGGAACTTAAGCAAGACCATTAGCTTTATAGCTATCCATTGTTTCAGAAGCAGGATTCCTACAAGGCAAAGGAGGCAAATGAAATGTTAGCTTTAGGAAGTATACTGCTACCAATAAAATACCTGATTAGAATAGTAATTTACTGTACAAAACTATTGTTACGGAGTCATTATTGTACTGTACCAAGGCATTTCAGTTAAGAAGTACCAATTCATTTACAGTGAGCCCCATGAGATGGTCACAGTGTTGCTGTAGCTACAGAATAAGGCAGGCAGGCAGAGTGCTTAGCTGCTTAATGCTATTGGCTTGTGCTTCAAGAAGCCTAGGGCTCCATTTTTTGCCTGGCCCTAACACATGATGAGTTTAGCTTTTGTAATGGTTCAGCACACCAAGGGAGGGGGACTGCTTCTGAGAAATGGCTGTCAATTGTAATGCTGCTGGCAGAGGGTTTATCCAGTTAACTACACTTCAGTAAAAGGAAAATAACCCTGAGACTGCATTATGCTGATCAGCTGGATTGGCAACAAAAACGAGCAGGGTTTTGCTCCAGGTGAATTAATTGCAGCGGCAATGCGAAGGAAAGAGATGACAAGGAACAATGTGCCTGTGGGAGCAAGGAGGCATACAGACTGGAGAAGGACAAGATGTTGTTTTGAGAAATGAATAAAATTCATTGCAAATCTTCCATCATCTTACAGATAATATATTCATGTCAAGGACTCACTGTCTCTGGCAAGCCACAATGGGCATATTTACAAGGTTAGCGCTCTCAGCTGTCCCTTTGTGCCACTGCTGAAGATTACTGCCCTGAAGTGGGCATGACAGATGTGAATATGCATCTTTTCCTTAGCTACCCCAGTTCAAAACCCACATACCAGCACAAGCCATAGCAGCAGAAAATGCCTCAGCTGAATCCAACAGAGCCCACAGTTTTGTGCTTCTTTTTTTTTTTTTTGTCCTTGCTTCTGAAGCAAATTTGGTGTTAAGCAGTGATTTTCTCTGAATTTTCAAGAGTAATGGTAATAGGGTTACAGACTTCTGGGCTTTACCAATAAAGACTGCTTATCACTGAACAGAAAAGAGAGAGAATGGATCCAACTGCTGTCTGATAAAGTGAAATACAGGAAGGTTTAAGGTGAAAGATCTCTTGATCTGACATTCTGATAGTTTTGTTTTCTTCTTACTTCTTCCTTCCTCTGAAATTGCTCCTTGCTAAAAACAAAACTGAGCCGACTAATTCTCCCTCATGGCAGAGTGATCCCACTAGACTCCAGTGTGTTTGGGTCATGTGGGCAGACCCAAATCAAAGATTACTCAACACTTAGGTAAGGAGAAAAAAGTCTCTTATTTCAAAAAGGCTTTGGACACATATATCTTTTGTAGTGTGAAGGGACACATTGCAACTTGCTATTGTCTCTGACTCTAGTGACACTTTTCCTTATTACCAAAAGACTTTCAGCTGGCAGCAGAACCTCAATTTCTCCCATTTTCTCTGCTTTGAACTGAAAAGCTTTGATTTAAATTACGTCTCTGGACTTGTTAAAAGTTAGTTACCATAGTAGAAGAGGTCTGAACAGGGCCTCTGGCTTTGGTGTTGTTAAGCAAAGATTCATTCATGTTTATGCACTACAGCTTGACATTCACTATGAACTTTTCAACTGGTTGATATGAAATACCATCACTTTCATGTCTTTGTTATACCAAGACCCATTAGCAGATTCCAAGCACAATCAATGTCAAGACAGAATGATAACTGCTGAATTTCGCTTTTTCACATTCTTAGCTGATAGCAGGATGCATGAGAATACCTGCTTAATTAATTTCTAATAGGAATGGAACCATATTATCTCTGCTAACATAATATGCTGGGCTGCATCAAAAGAACCATGGCCAGCAGGTTGAAGGAGGTGAATCTGTCCCTCTACTCTGCTCTCATGAGACCCCACCCGCAGTCCTGCATTCAGCTCTGGGGCACCCAACTCAAGAGGAACATGGACTTGTTGGAGCTACTCCAGAGGAGGCCATAAATATTGCCAGAGGGCTGGAGCTTCTCTCCTGTGACGACAGGCTGAGAAAGCTGGTCTTGTTCAGCCTGGGGAAGAGAAAATTCGGGAAAGACTGTGTAGCAGTCTTCCAGACCTAAAAAGTGTCCACAAGAAATCCAGAGAGAGTCTTTTTATAAAGGCATGAAGTGACAAGACAAGAGAGAATGGATTTAAAGTGGAACTGGGTTGATTTAGCTTAGATATTTGGAAAAGATTCCTGACTGTGAGGATGGCCTTATGCTGGCACAGGTTGCCCAAAGAAGTTGTGGCTGCCTCTCCCTGGCAGTGTTCAAGGCCATGCTGGACGGTGCTTTAACCAACCTGGTCTAGCTGAAGGTGTCCCTGCCCATGGCACGGGGGCTGGAACTGGATAACCTTTAAGGTCCCTTTCAACCGAAACCATTCTATGACTCTATGAGTCTATGACAATAAGTAATTCTCCAAATTATACCTTATGATGCTGCAGCATCATGCTTGATTCTCATTTATGCCACTATCTCATTGCATTTTTCTGCAAAATTAGAGCTGCAGAAAGTCTTAAGTTTAATGAGCATCCTGGCTAAGGTTTTCTTGCTTAGCTAGTGCCAAATCCATCTTTTTTTTTTTTTTTTTTAATATATGAGAAGGGGAATTGTGGCTTTTGTGTCCTGGTCCAAATGTCTGTAACTTCCCTAATGCTTCAAGGTTAGATGTCAGTCTCTTGCCTTCTGGGGAGCCTGACTGTAGATGTTCCCAGATTTAATGCATGCAATCTATTCTAATTATCGGTTTTTTTTTTAAATTCAAATATATTTGACTCATGAGGGGGAAAAAAAATGAAAAGAAAGTTCCAAGCAAGTGTTAAGCAGCATATTAATGAAGCAAGACTAATTGCTGTGAAAAGAATAGTTATCTGGATTCCAAGATAAGTTACATGTGCTCTGCTTAATAAAACAAAAACCTTGCATATTTTAAAGTCCTTTGTCTCATCCAGCTGTTTCCAGTTTGTCTGTTATTCAGTGCTGTTAGATACTGTGTCTAAAATCCCTTGGAAGGCAGTGCGTGTCTTTTCACAAAACACTGTGTTTTCAGTTTAATACTCCTTTATTCCCTATCCTGTAACAAATAATCTTTGTGATAAGAGCATTCCCCATTTCTAAGCCCACTTATCCCTTCTTACTAATAAACATTAATAAGCAATTGAAAATTAATTGTAACAGTTTAGTCTAAAAAGCTTTGTCTTGGATGGAGCTTCTTTTATTTCTGTGAAATATGCTTTATTCACTTTTTGGAATGAAAAGAAAAAAATGAATCTTTTTACCTGTGTTTTAAATAAATTCTACTAAACTTCCCTCTGAGAATCAGCACGCCCCATGTCACGGGGCAGATATAATATATGGATGTTTTAATGAGAAAAGTATGTTTTGCCACCCCTGTGAACAGTGACCAAGGACCATAAAAACTTGAAAAATCATAGCTCATTTCACAGTCAGCAGGGATATCTGGATTACCTAGAAACTCATTCAGCATTGGGCAGGCTTTATCCTAGGACTGAACTGGACTTTCCAAGTAGAATGTATGCATGAGCATTTTAAATAAGAACAAGGACTCCCTTTCACTTTTTCATGAAAATTTTGTTGATCCTAGGTGCTATGAGAAAGCGAGCTACCAAATTTGAATGCAGACTCTCAAGAGCAATTTCCTACTTTCTGCCAGTTATTTCTTAGTATCACTTGCACATTTCTTAGTATCACTTGCACACATGCTCACAGTTTGCTAAATATGTCTTCAGGAAAAAAAATTCCCAAGGTCATACTAGCAGGTCTATTGCAGTTATTTTGTCTTCCTCTGTGGTATAATCTGTCTTCTAAAATCATCTGGTAATTTTCACATTTCCTGCTACTTTGTGGATTTAGTACATTAGGAGTGTCCTTGCTCTTTTCTGCTTCATTTCCTGTGACTTCTGTGGCTTTGATTTTATACTAAAGGTTTTAATTTTGCAGTGGGGTATTGGAAAAAGTTTTATTGCT